CAGCCCCGGCCCGGGTCGGGCAGACCTGGGGAGCAGGGCTCGGTTTGCATACACACAATGCACGCCCGGGGCTCGTCCTATCACCGGCTCTCCGGGCTGGGCGAGGACCGGGAGGCGGGGGCAGAGAGAGGGGGGGCTGGCCGGGGAGGGGTGGGGGAGCACCTCGCCTCGCCGGGCTCTGACGCGGAGCTCGGCGAAGTTCCTCCAACTCGGTCCGCGGCGGGCGGGTCGCCCAGCAGGGGGACGTGGAGGAGGGCCGGCCGCGGATTGGATCGAAGTTGGAAGCCCTCACCGCCTCCCGGCCGTGGGGTGGTGGTGGGAGGGAATGGTATGCGAGAGGCTCCACGCCCTTAAAGCTCCTCGGGTTCCCACCCTCTCTCCTGTCACCTGGCCGTCAGGGCGAGGGCTTCCCAGCCCCAAGCTTTTATGGGGAACACCAACGGAGAGAGGCCAAGGCTAAACGAAGGTCAAGTGACTAACAGATAAAATAGAGCAGGCGCAAAATAAACTGGGATTAGCTCCTGCATTAAGTATCACCGTATAAGTGAAAGTTAACTTCCTTGCAAGTGCTCACACGCCAAGAATGCAACACGGCTTTCTGCAAGCAAGCTCCGCTTTAAATTTCCACCTTCATGGTATGACATCCTTGCGGGATGTCAACCTCTTCTGGCTTTTTCAGCCTGGTTTCCAAAGAGCGATGGACATTAACAATGATTAAACCCATCCAGCTATTATTCAAAGGTTTATTTATTTGCAAGTGGCTTACAACTGTCACTAAAATAAAACGAAATGAAAAATGAAAAAGAAAATCTGTTCCTAGGAATATAATTGTATTTCGATATAACCAGGTAAAATAGAAAAAAAAATACTTACTTTGTAAATAAGCAAACTTTCCGAACATTAACAGTATATCTCTCCCCCTGTGTATGACACGGAACAATTTCTTTTGTTTTCACGGAGACTATTCTTTGATGAGAAGTTAATCTGGATGTCAAATGACGTTGTTATGGGCTGAATTGTGCTCCCCCCAATTCATGTGTCAAAGCCTAACCCCCGTTGTCACTGTCTGGAGACAAAGCCTGTCAGGAGTAATTAAGGTTAAATGAGGTCATAAAGATGGGCCCTAGGACTGGTGTCCTTATGAGCAGAGGAAGGGATATCAAAGATCTCTCTGCTTTGGTATAGAGGACAGGCCTTGTGACACTCAGTGAGAGGCCTTAGTCTACAAGCCAGGAAGAGAGGCCTCACCAGAAACTAACCCTGAGTTTCCTCTGATCTTGGAATTTCAGCATCCAGAACTGCGACAAAGTAATTTCTGCATTTAAGCCACCCAGTCTATGGTATTTTGTTATGGGAGTCCGAGTAGACTGATACAGAGGTATATTACTCATGTATTGTTTATATTGTTAATCTTTATATAAATGTGTATGTGGATATGCATAATAACTACACAGACACACACATAAATGCGTAGATACACACACCCTCACTCCTACACTCAAATATACAAACTGTAATAATTGTATAGGAACTCTTTGTTACTTATAGCAGTTCCTATTAACTCACTCATTCTTTCATCCATGGAATATTAAAAATATATTTATTCAGGGCTATCACAGTTTAGACATTGGCCTCTTTGTAATGGAGGAGTATTCCTATCAGTTAATAAATATACACACTTATTTAAAATGTTTATTATTGCCTTTTCTCAAATTGACAACCACTGGTCATTACCCATCTTCTGTGTTCCAGATTCATCTACTCAGCTTCTGTCCGGATGGCTTCACGCAGAAATTCCATAGGAACCTCGGTCATACCAGCCCTAATCCATTCCCTGTAGCCCCAACCTGATCCTCTTCTTTTAATCTCCACGTCAGGTATTGAAACTCCTACCCTAGTTGCTGCACTGGAAATCTGGGCATCACCCAGCACGCCGCTCTTCTCACACTCGCCATATCTGGTCTTGGAGTCCATACGATTCGAACTTTTATCTCCACTGACTCTCTACTGTCATCTCTTTATCTCTGCTGTTATGACCCTTAGTTCACTCAGTGTCTCTCACCTGGATTCCTGCAGGAGACTCCTACCTGCTTTGTAGGTGCCAAGTTGAACCCTCTTCTGATCCATTTTTCATAATTTATCCTCCTGTTCTTTTCCATCCCGGCCACAGCAAACCCATCAAAGTGATGACCTTTGTCCCTCCTTTAAAAAATTTGATGGTAGCTCCCTACAGTCCACAGTCCCAAATCTTTCACATTCAAATTTTGGCCCCTACTTGTGCACTGTCTCCTGCAACTGTCTATTCAGCCACCTGAACTGAGACCTCCCTTTCCAGGAAGGAGCATGGTCACTTAACACCTCTAACACTATCTTCAGATAATTTAATATATCTGTGGATGATTAATTTTTTTGTACAATTACATGCTCAATATGTCACCTCCACTACACTGCAGTGGAGAACATTTGTATTGTGTACATCTAATATTTAGAAGGTGTTCAGTCTATATTTATTGACTTAGAGAATAAAGGCAGAACTAGATCCAACATGTCCATACCCCTAATTTCTGCATCTTCCTTGTGTCTCACACAGCTTCTATCTAGTACATTGCAAATGCTTACTGTATGACAAAGATGTAGTTCTTGGATACTAATGTCATGGACTCAAAAGTCTGGAAGTGTTTGGCAAAATCTCCCTATAATACAATATCTTGGTTTTGCTAACTGCCTTCATTTCCATATGGCTCTAATGGATGAAAATGAGAAAGTAAAGATCAATTCTGCCCAGAATGAGAATCTAGAAGAAGGACAGAGAAGAGGGAGGACATAACTGTCAAAGGCTAGAGTCTTTGTTTCCTCATTAATAAAAAGTAGGCTAATTCCCATTAAGCTAAGCTGGAGTTCTGGTAGGAGAGCTGATGTGCCTGACTTCCCCCAGGTAGATGTTTTGGGTTTTAGAATAGAAAAGAATCAAAAAGGTCACGTGGTCTAAACCATCTTTCACAGATGCGCAAGGAAGTGATCTAATTAAAGTCTCTTAGGGAACTGGAGGCAGAACTAAAACCAAAGCCTCAGGTCTCTTGACTCTTAGTTCTGTTCCTTATCACCCCACGATAAGGATACAGAAACAGTCACATACATATATTACATGCATGCATATGTTATGTGAGTGTGTGCCTACATGCACCCATTTATACATATTCATCTATGCATATAAGAAGAGGTCTCTGATTAGATCACCCTTTGGTGACCTGGAGTTGTGGATAAGGAGTGGAGGGGAATGTAGGCCAACTGCATTTGACAATAGTGACTCACCCAACCCAGAGAATTCAGTCTGACCACTGGTGTACTCATTTTTATGTCTATTATGCAGGGATGTCACGATTACTTGCAATAACGTAGTAATGGAGTAGAAGTTGATTCTTTGCACTTCTGAGCGAAAGTTCCTCAAAGATGACTCATGTACCTTTTCGTCCTGCCCCTCTCACGCTGCTCTGTCTGCCTCTGGCTCAGCGGTGTGGAACTCACGCCTACCCATCCAGTGTTTATCCTCCTCCTCTTTTCTATCCCGGCCACTGTGATTCTAATAGAATCCCTACATGACCTTGAATATTCCCAACTCTTATGAGTCAGGGGTTTACAGTCACTACATTTTTGGCCCTGCCCACCAAATTTCCCAGAATATTTCCAAATTTTCCAGCTGGAATTTAGGGAGGTGAACTCACCAAAGCAGTTTTATTTGTCAGGGTAACTTGAAGTGGATCTTCCCAATATCTCTTGGGATAAAATAGAGCAAAGAGGGGGGAATCTTTCTGTTTTTGAGAGATGACAACCAGGCTTGTCTTTAACTTGGGGTTATAGTGTCAGAGCACATAGGGGACCTGCAGTTCACAGGTTGGACATCTCAATCTGTGCATTCAAACTGTCTTCCCAGGATACCACACAGCTGATCTTCGCCATCCTTCTGGCCTCAGCTGAACCCACTGATAATGCAGCACAGTCTAAGAATCATGGCTCTGAAGAAGTGGACTTGGGTCATCTGTGCAGGAAATTCCCAGGTCTTGAGTACAAAAACATGGTTGTTCTAGACAGAACAATGCCTAAGAATATGTTTAACTTATATGACACAAGGGAGTTAAAATTGCATTTGGAATTAAGGTTACTAGTGAGTAGATTTTAAGGTAGGAAAATTATCCTGGATTATCTGGGTAAGCCCAGTGCGAGTAATCACAAGGGTCCTTTTAAGAGGGGAGGCAGGAGGCAGAAGAGTCAGTGTCATATTGATGTGATGTTAGAAAGATTCTGTAAGCCATCACTGACTCTGAAGATGGAAAGGAGCCAGGAGCCAAGACATACAGGCAGCCTCTAGAAGCCAGAAAGGCCAGAAAGTGGGCTCCCCTGGAGACTCCAGAAGGAGTGCAGCCCCGCCAACAATGCCATTTTGGACTTCACACCCCTAGAACTGTAAGAAAATAAATTTGCACCAGTTTAAGTCAGTGAGTTTGTGGTCATTTGTTACAGCAGCACTGGGAAGCTAATCAATAGCAGAATGAGGAGGGGAGCTGGAAGGGAGGACTTGGGGACGTCCCCTTGGCCCGACAGATTCCTACAAGGAGAGACACAAGAGGAGGAGGACCAGTGAGAGGTTCTCTAAAGCTGAGAGGCCAAGGAGGGGCTCTGGCTGCCTGGATCTAAAAGGGTGGTGCTAATAACGTGAATGGAATAGATGTGAAAGCAGAAGATCAAAACGCACGTGTAAAGCAATACAACCACTTTACTCAGTTGTCCTTTGGATCACCTGTCTTCAGTG